TGTTATAAATATGGATGTAACAAGACAATAAACGGCAGAACTTCTCTGGAGATCCAGACCAGAACTTGGCTGGAGATCCTGGCAAGGCTGCTGATCAACTGAATGCTGTCTCCGTGTCATTCCTTCTTCGCCGACTCCGTCCACACCTTTGGGGACCCCTGGACCTGCTGGGGTTGGACCCCGGCAGAAATATACATTTCCAAGATGGAAACTGTGTTGGCTTTTCACCTACCTTATCCATAGTCAGAGAAAAGTCTCACTGCCTGGTCCAGCTGCCATAACGTTCGCCCCTTAGATCCCTGCAGGCAGCTACCAAAAGTGCCTCACAGCCATCTGGGAGAGTTACTTTCCAAATTCAGTTCTGGTCTGGACATCTAGGGCCAGTGTCTGTGACCACTGTAGTTAGGTAACTCTAGTTGCTTCTCATTCACATGAATTATCTGAGTCTGAAATTATACTTAATATTTACTATCTTTTAATTTTTTTTCTTCTGTGGTATTTTATCAAAATCTATAGGCCAATGCCCTTCCTTGGAATGAGCCCATTCTAATGTTGAGTTAAAGACCCTAAATTATTTCAAAGATGACTACTATGTTCTAAGCTATTCCAAGACTGACAATAAATACAGTAATAACCTGGCATTACACACACCCACATATCCACTATGAACTGCAATATTTAACATGAAACTCTTTTACTCTAATGTTAGGGCATATTAAAAACTAAACAGGTGCCTGCTATTGGTTCTTTGTTCCTTTTTTTAGATCAGAGGCTTTGAATCTGCTTACTGCATTGATAGCATGGGAAGGACAAACGGAGGCTTTGTTGAACTAGGACCCTGCCACAGGATGGGAGGGAACCAGGTAAATTACCTCCTTTCATATTTAAATCGGTTCTATAGTGAGAGCTGCCAGGCTTGTTGATCTTGGGAATTCCTTTGGTTTTCAGTTTGGTAATTTTCTTTGGTAAAGTAAACCATTCTGTAAAAAAAGAAAAAACGGACTGAGCTAAAACTTTTAGTTAAATGAGAGTATAATAGCAGCACTGCTTTTCACATAAGCAGTCATAATCTAGAATTTAATATATGCAAATTGACCAACTGGTTGCTGTGACATGCACTGACTACCAGGGGGCAGATGGTCAATGCAGGAGCTGCCCCTGTGGTCAGTGCACTCCCACAGGGGGAGCTCTGCTCAGCCAGAAGCCGAGCTCACACTGGCGAGCGCAGCAGCATCCCCTCCATGGCAGCACCTTAAGGATGTCCAACTGATGAAGAGGCACCAGGCCTCTAGTTAGAATATATTATTGTGTGAGTCCATAACTATGCAAGCCTAGCTCCCCAACAATTGTATTTGCAAATATTATCCAGAATTCCACATTTCTTCCCAATAAGCTGGAATGTTACTGCCAGTAATGTATATTCCCCTAATATATTTTCCTACTTCCTTATGTGTTTTTCTTGCCTCTAAGTTAGATTGTAAGCCATCAGATCTGTTTTCACTTGTATTTTCTCACATTGTCGGTACTTGATAAATACGTGTTAATGACCCCTTCTGTATCGAAAAGGCTACAGAACATAATCCTTCCAGTGTTAGTTTGCTAACATCAATGAATACAATTCCAGTCTTTGGATTTATAGTTTTGAACATACAAAAATATTATAGAAAAATAAGATAGCCATTGAGTTAGTTTTTGTGTATCAGCAGAGAAGGTGCCTGTTATTTTTTTCTTTTCTTTTTTTAATAGCTTTTCCGAATCAACGAAGCTAATCAACTCATGCAGTATGACCAGTGTTTGACAAAGGGGCCTGATGGATCAAAAATCATGATTACACACTGTAACCTAAATGAATATAAGGAATGGCAGTACTTCAAGGTATTCTACATTTCAACTTCCAAAATAATAATATGCAATTTCATTTTAATAACACCTACCTTGTGGAATTTAGATGTATAAATCTTAAAACCTGCATTCAAATTGACTTGCATTTCCCTCTCATTCAGTCATTTGTTTTCCTGAGCACTGATGACTCCATTGTTCCATAATGAATCATCCCTTTTATTCTCTGGTGCAATGTTGTCATGTAACAAGGTCGCAAGATGTCCGCAAAGGCCCACTAATCTCAGTAACCCAGGAAAATCAGTATTCTGTGAGGGCAAATACCTGTAACAAAAAAAATATTGTGTTTATATTTCATGTTGTCCAGCAGGTGGCGTTGGAGACAGACAAATAACACTTGGAAATCTAGGCCTTCACTACTTCCTTATCATTGTTTTATAGATACAATCGTTAGATAAATGTTGCCTGTTCCTTGCTTTAAAGGTCATATTTAGTTGACACTGTGGGAAGGAACAGTTTTTCTATTTTAGCTGTGAATATTCAAGAGTTCTGTGCCAAGTTGAGGATTCCATCATATTGATGGATGGATGTATAATTTTCAAAGTATGCATTTGGCTAAAATAAATTGTGAAACATAAAGTTTGGAAAGCTACCCCAAACTGAAATAACCTGGCAACCTCAACTTTATTTACTCATTTAATATATGTTATCATACCGTGTCTGTCATGCAAGCACTTGTTTACTATGTAGGTATGTTACTATGACCCAGCTTAATATTCCCAGTCATCAGCATTCATAGATAATTACTATAAAGTGGTGAGTGTGTCAATTGCTGGTTTTTTTATAACAAGTTAGGAATGAGAAGATCAGCATAAATCTTGAAAAACAAAGCATTTATTTCCACAAAGAAATTAATAATAGCAGTAAGTGATAGGGGTCAGGGAGAACAATATTAGTAAAGTAGTAAAAGAAGGCTAAGAGACCAGAAACTACCATTGAGAAGTAATAGATTAAAAAATGGAATGTGCATATTTTATATACTTTAAAGGGCACAGCACTAAATATACAATTGTGCATCAGACATTACTAAACATACAGGGGTGGGCAAAAGTAGGCTTACAGTTGTGAGTACATGAAAGTTTATTTTTGTATTTATTAATTATTATTTCTATTATTGTTTTTATTATTTCATATCCTTATAATTTGTCTTTTAGTTAACGATGGCTGATAATTTAACTAATGACCAATGAAAGTGGGCACTTAAATCTACTTTTGCCCACCTCTGAATACTAGGGCTAGTGACTTCAAAAAATAAGCACATCATACTACAATAGCAGAGAAGGGGGTGGAAGGTAGAAATTAAAATAAGCACAATGCCATAAGACATCAGAAGAGAGATTAATAAGAATTATTTCTGATGAGTTTCATAGAGGAAGTATCATTGCACCGGTATCACTGAAGTATAAAGCGATTTCTCATGGAGAGTAAGAAAGAAAAATGGGTGAGCAAAGGCTTGGCATGAAAGTGTATAGAGAAAAATTCGAGGAATCACGTTTAGAATTTCCCTCCATATGACAGAACACTGAACTTCACTTTGTAAGTTTAGGAGAGCAGTTGGCATTATTTGAGAAATGCAGTGATAGGAAACAGTTGATACTTTTAGGAAAATAATTCTGGAAACATTGTGAAATATGAACTGTAAAGCTTCATCAGAAGTTCTCAAATGCTCCGGTCTCTGGATTCCATTTACACTCTTAAAAATTATTGGGACTCTTCTCACACAGATTATGTTTATGTAGATTATAGCTAACAAAATATCCAAAATTGGAGATTAATCCAATAAATGTTACAGGTATTTATGTATTAATTTATAGTTTATATAAAACTAATACTAGCCCTATTGCATATTAATATAAATACTTTTAATGAATAACTTTTTCAAAAAAAGTGAGGAAGGCATTGTTTTATAGTTTAGCAAATCCCTTTAATATCTGGTTTAATAGAAGGCAGCTGAATTCTCATACTACTTCTACATTCCATTTGAAATTATATATTGTTTTAGTTGCAGTAGATGAGGGAAATCCAGCCTCACATAAACATTCAGTTGGAAAAGAGGAATAATTTAATAGCATTTTCAGATAATTTGGTTATTCTTTGATGCTACTACACAAGTCTGTAAGTGATAGTTTCTTAAGTTATTTGTCATGTAGAATCTGAAACCATATAAGTGAACACTTTCCTATGTTACATTAAAATCCATTGGTCTTTGAATGGATTTTTTACCCATGTGAGCTTTTGTAACATCATGCATTGCTCATTTGGAAAATCATGGTTTACTAAGTTACGATCTTGCAAATGGTGACACATTTCATTGTGCAATGTCAAAAATATACATATTAGGAAGTTATCATGTTCACGGTGGTGGTTGCCAGTTTTCAAAAATTCTTAATATTTCCTTGAAAACTCAACTTGTATCAATGGCACCAAATACTGTCAGATTTGTGGATTTGTTTTTTGTGATTGTTGTTTTTCTTCTTGAAGGGAGAGGCTCACTTCCTTTTCATGAAAATGTCTACAAAGTTTAAATAATTGTAGTTTATCTGTGAGTTGACCTTTCTAGTCAAAATGACAAATCATGAAAAAAGCAGCTAGTTGAACTCTCAAGTCAGACAGTTGTATGTGTACTTTCCCTCAAGATAACCACGGTAATCACTATACAGAAGTGTCTTATGCATATTTCCCATTTCATCTTATAGAATCTTTTTAAAAGTATACTCAAGGGTTATGATTTAGTAAAACTAATAAGTTTTACTGCTTCATCAAGGACATTCTTAAGTGAAACTGGCATTTCCTTTTTTAACTGTTAGAATGGACTGTTGGCACAGTTTTGTGACACTGCTTAATTTATGCTGAGGCACAGCACTTTTATCCACCATTGCTTTTGCACTGTCAGTATAAATGTCAATACGAGGAAAAAGGCAAATGGGGCCTTTGTATTATTATCAAAATAGTTTTGACCTTACAGATACAATCTTAGATAGCCTGAGGACCACCCTCTAAGAAGCCCTGAACTATGTGAAGAAACCTACAACAGATGATGAGGGCTAAACTAAGGCATTGCAGTGGGGATGGGACAGAGTATATACCAGAGATATTGCAAATATCACACCTTGTGACTGCTCAACAGGAAGGGAGGGAGAGAAAGGAAGTGAGGAAGGGAAGGAAGGTACAACATGAATGCCTCTATCGTGAGGACTGGAAAGCTGATATTGTCAGTAGTCAGAATAGGAACTAGAAAAATAGATTTGGAGGGAAAGATAATGAATTTAGGTTTGTATGCACCGAACTTGAGGTACCAGCAGTACATTATAACATAAGTCTTTATATAAACAATAAAAGCACAAGACTGACGATCAAGAAAAGTCCGAAGTCTGATGTATAGTTGGTTGGTTGAAGCCTGTCCATCTTGCTTGAATTATCATTTTTTTTCCAAAAAAAATTTTTTTTAAGTACAGTTGACATTCAATATTATATTAGTTTCAGGTGTACAGCATAGTGGTTAATTCCCCCAATAAGTCTAGTACCCAGCTGACACCATACATAGTTATTACAGTATTATATTCCCTATGCAGTATTTTGTAATAGAACAGAATAGAGAGCCCAGAAATATATCTATGCCTATTTGGTTAATCTATGACAAAGAAGACAAGAATATATAATGGGGTAAAGACAGTCTCTTCAATAAACGGTGATGGGAAAACAGCACAGGTACATGCAAAAACTGAAACTAGATCACTTCCTTACACCATATGTAAGAATAAACTCAAAGTAGATTAAAAACTTA